AATTCTAGGTAATTATATTTATAAGGAACCTTTAGTTAGCTATAGGTAGTAATCCCCTTATTGCCTAGCTATTTCGTTTTTTAGCTACTTAAAGGGAGGTCTATATAGATATAGAGTAATATTAATCCTTTAAGTAAGGGATATAGTTATAAGGGTCGCTACTTTAAGCGTAAATATAGTTAGTAATCTAGGTATTATATAACTATTTATAAGTTATAGTATAGTATTAATACCTTATAATTATCCCTTATTAAAATATCTATAATACTATTAATTAAATATATCTCTTATATCTATAGGTATAAGTATATTAATCGTTACTAAAAGCTAGTAGTATAGCGTTACTATATCGTTATCTTCTTTAATTAATAGTTAGTATTTTAAATAGTCGCCTATATAATATATATATAGATTTAGTTATACTCTATAAGGTTAGGTTAGTATCTATTTATATTCTAGCTTATCCTAAAGGTATATAAGGTACGTAAAATAAATATAATAGAGCTAAAGTATATATTAGTAAGTTAAGTCGTTAAGGTATGCCCTTAAGGTATCCCTTATTATTAATAAGACGTAGCGTTTAAGGATCTATTTAGCGTAAAGAATCGAGATTAAGAGTTTAGGAGTAGTAATATTTTATCTATACTTTATAACGGGTAGTAATATTACTTCTCTATCTAAACTTTCCGAAGAGTCTAAGGTATCTTTATCGCTATTACTATTAAATACCTTATATTATAGCGGTAGGATCTTATAGTATTTTAGATATTTATATAATTAAGTTAAGTACTCTTAATCTTCTCTTTAGTCGTTATTTTATATTATCCTTAAGGTTATAAGACTAGGATTTTATATACTTTAAAAGGTTTAGTAAAGTCCTCTAACCTTAAGGGCTTAGGCTACTTATATTAATATCTATATAGCAGTAATATCTTTAAGGATCTATTATAATATTAGTTATTAGTAAGTCCTATTAAGGATTTTACTATAAGCTTATTATATTATTAAAACGTTTCGTTCTTAAGGCTTTTAGGGGTATTAACTTAAACCCTACTTATTAAATAGGTAAGTCTAGTATAAATTATCGTAATATCCTAAGAAATATAGTAACTTATATTAAATAGGTTCCTCTTATATAGCTATTTAAGCTCGCTTATTAAGGATTAATTTTTAGTTTAACTTCTTCTTCTAACTATATTTATTTATAAAGTATCTTAATTTCCTATAGTTATAATAAGTCTTCTTTTTATTCTTATTATTATATATAGCGATATTAAGATCTATAAGTCTATTATAATATCTATAAGCTATAAAGCGATATCGATAAGGCTTCCTTTAATTAGCTTATAAACTTTAGACTTTAATATTTTATCTACCTTTATTACCTCGCTTTAGTTAGTATTAATAATTATAGTTATCGATCTTAATTATTATTTCTATATATTTATTAAACTTATCGAGCTTATCGACTTTATTAAGTTCGTCTTTTATATCTTTTCGTAGTCTATTATAGAAGTATTCTATAAGGGCGTTATCTTTAAGGTCGAGCTTTAAGGAAAGTTACCTAAACTCTCTATTATAATATATAGCCGATCTAGTTTATTAAAGGTTCTTTAGTTATCTTATAGTAGTTCTAGCTTTATTTATGTCTCTAAAAGCGGTTTCTAAGGCATTCTTAAAATTATTATAGCTCTAGAAGATAGTATTAGTTTTTTCGTTCCTATTAGCTTCTCCCTTATAGTTAAGGTAGTCCCTAAGGGTAGGTTCTTATTATTTAAAGGCCTTTCCTATAAAGAGGTTATCGATATAGAGGATCTAAGGAATAGGTCCTCTAATAGAAGTATTAATATAGAGGTAAGCCTTTATTTAAGTTAGGAAAGAGCGAATACTTCCTTTCTAGCTATCGAAAGACTTAGGCTTTAAGAACTTAAGGGCTCTTATAGCTCTACCTCCCGCTTAGTTATAAACTTATTCTCGTAACTATTAGAGTTTAGCTTATATTTATATAAGTATTTACTTAAGGTTTTAAGTTATATCGCTTAAAATAAATATATTACTTATTAGTTATTAAGGGTAACTTACTAAATAAGAATAATTAAAATATAATAGAGCTTAAGTAAGGTCTTAAGGTTTATTATTACTTAAGAGGTAAGCTAGGTTTAATAAGTAATAAATAATTTATAAGAGTCCGTTAAGAAGCTTTAAAGACTTCTTATTTAGATAAATACTTAAATTAATTATTAAAGATCTAGCTATCTACTCTTAGGTAGAGACTATAGTATATATATCTATCTAGCTCTTCTATAATCCCCTTAATTATATAATAATTACTTTAATCTATAGTATTAATTAAGGTAATCGAGGTATAATCCTTTCGATTACCTTTAATTATCTTTATAATTATATAACTCTAAGAGTCCTTCTTAATTACTTATCCTTACTTAATTAGCTAACGGGCTACCTTATATTTAATATCCTTAATTAAGCTAGCTCCTTTTTATATATAGCGTTTATAATACTTACTTACTGCGAATACTTCTTAAGAAGCTTTATATAGCTTTAAGTAGGCTCGATTAGCGAGAGGTTTAGTAAGTTAGCTAGCTACTTAAGGATCGTAATACCTTAAGACTCTTAGAACTCTTTATTCCTTAGCGTTATATATAATAGAGCGTTATCTTATTGCGCTAACTACCTTAACTTAAGAAGCTATTAGACGAAAGGAGCGAAAAGAGGCTTTAATACCTTATGCTTATACTTAATACTATTAATCCTTTTTATAGTCTTTTTACGCTAAATCTATATCTTTATTTTTAGACTAAATTTAAATCTTACCCTTAGCCTATAGGTATTCTTTATTTCTTACTTTTTATATAAGTATAGCTCGTTTTTCTCGTTTTAATGAGCTACTTCCTTATTATTTACTTACTTTTACTTAGCCGTTTCGTTACCTTAGATAAAGTAAGGGCCTTTCTAGTTATATAAAAAGTATACTTAGAATATAAACTCTATCTAGCTATTCTAGCGAAAGTAGATATTATTATAATTATAGGCTTTATTTAAAAGTTATTAAGTCCGCTACTTTCTATAATAATTGCCTATAATAATAGAAGTCTCGTCGCTTTAAATTACTTTCTTTTATTAATTAAGGGTTTAATCCTTTTTCTCGAAAGCTTACTTTAGATATTACTATTATTATACCTTATTTAAGCTAGGCTTAGTTATAAGCTTTATGCTTTTATACCCCTCTACCTTAAGTTAGCGGGCTAAATATAGATATGCTAATTCTAAGATATAATCGCTCGTTAATTATATCGCTTAACTCGAGTAAATTAAACTACTTTATCTTTAAATTTTAAGTTAAGATACCCTTAATCTTCTTACTTAATTCTTAATCGATAATCTTTAGTCTATTAATACGCTAAGTATCGTAAAGATATTCTTCCTCGATATTTATGCCCTTTACCTACCTTTAATACCGAGCTTAATACTTATTAAGGATCCTATAGAATATAGACTTTATAATGCCTATTCTTTTTAAGATTATAGAAATTAATATATTTATAGTATATTACGTAAGTATTTATATTCGGTCGGTAATAGAAGTCTACTTCTTTTATAGCTTATATATATTACTTAAATCTAGACGATCGGCGGTTTTAATAGCGGTTTTAGGAAAATAAGGTAATTATCTTGCCTTTACGTTAAGTCCTATATTATAATATATTATACCCTTACCTTTATCGAGCTCTACTTTATTAATTAATATATAGGGCCTAGGGCTAGTATAATAATTCGAAGATAGAGAAGATATCCCTCGATAGATAGAGATACCTCTTAAGGCTATTAAAGAAGGAAATATATTCGAATTAAGTAATTAATTAGGTTCTATTAATATAAGCTATTATTATAGGCTTATAAGAGATATATTTATAGCGGCGTTATTATTACCTCTTACTTTATCTCTAGCTTCGCTAGAAGGTTTAATATCTTAGATTAATATCGCAATAAGGGCTAGAGCTCGTTTAACTAGCTAGTATAACGTATACGCTAATTAAGTATATAGGCTACGTTAGTAAATATCGCTACCTTTAATTACGGCTCTATAGGCTTAAGGTCTTATAGCTATTAGTCTAAGAGGTTTTATATAAGTAATAGAAGCGGCTTTAACGGTAGAGGTAACTATAGCTATCTCGGTAAGGTATTATGCCTATTAATCGGCTCTACCTCGTACCTAACGAGAGCCCCGTCTAGCTACCGTAGCGGTAATAGCTCTAGTAAAAAAGTAGGTAGAGGCGATAGCGGCCGAAAGAGGTTTACTTACGATAGGGGCTACTTTAGACCTTATTAGCTTAATAGTCTACTTAGAAAGGCTTATTTAAGTAGCCTACCTATAGTAACTTAATTAATTAGGCTAGCGATAGTTAGATCTAATAGCGGCGTTATTAGTATATATAATACGGTTATATTAGCTATAAGTAGTGCTATTACGTTAGTCGCTCGTATTTAGCTCTAAGTTTATACTATTTTAGTATAAGTTTTAATATATAGTTAATATATATTAATATAGAAAGGGGGATCTATTATATTTCCTAGGGTTTAAACTTAAAGGGGGGTAGGAAATAAGCTTAGTATAAATTATCGCAAAATAATTATTAATACGGTAATAGGGGTTAACTACGTGGGGCTAGAGTCTCGTTTTTTTTAGGCCGAACGTATATATACTGACTGCGTGCATTCGCGATTGGGATGTAGGATAGTTTCATGTATACAACGGGGGAATCAGATTTATCTACGTAAAAGAGGACGTTAATGGCTGCAGTCCTTGTACTACAAAGCAACACCACGCTCTTCGTTCACCATGCTTCGTTCATCGTGGCCCCCGCGCCTGCTTCAGGGCGTCACCAAGCCGCACACTCTGTCCATCCCATCCAAATCGCCTCGCTCCCGGGCGCGCCAACCTCCCCAGACGCCAAATAAGTAGTCTGTTTGTCCTGTCTCCCTCACGACGCAGCCATCAACCTGCGCTGCACGGCAAGGCAGCGGCCAAAGTCGAGCTTCCTGCCCTGCTTGGGCATGTACTCGCCGCTGGCGATGCAGAGGACGCGCATCTTGGGGTCGTAGCGCAGGCCGGTGAGCAGCTTGGGCGTGATGAGGAAGTACTGCGACGTGTGCTCGCGGCAGGCAATCTCCACCATGCGCTCGTGCACCATGCGCTCGTTGCGCGGGTCCATGCCCTGGTTGATCTCGTCGACGACGCGGAAGGGCGACTGCGCCATTGACTGCAGCGCCATGAGGTAGAAGATGGTCGAGACGGCGCGCTCGCCGCCCGACTGCCGGTGGGCGTTGAGCTGCTGGAGCGTCTCGTTTTCGCTGTCGATGTGGTTAGCTTTGGTCCAAGGACGCGGATGATAGACAAGGAGATGATGCAGAAGGAGGCTTACCGGAAGCGAACCATGATGTCGAGGGCCCACAGGTCAAAGTCCTCGTCCTTGTGGACGCGCACCTCGCCCGCGCAGCTAATCTGCTCAAAGTTGTAGGCAAACGCGTCGTTGATCTGCGACACGAGCTCCTCCAGCTTGGGCTCCCACTTGCCCATCAGCTCGTCGAGCTTGCCGTTGAGCGAGTCGAGGCGCTCGTTGAAGCCCTCCATCTTGTCCTTGAGCTTAGCAATTTCCTGGGCCCGGCGCTCGAACTCGCGGAGCACGTTGGGGTTGGCGGCGTGGATGAGCTCGAGCTTGGCCTCCTCGGCCGAGATTTCCATCTCCAGCTCCGGAGGCTCCTTACCGGCGGACAGCTGGGTGAAGAGCTCCTTCTTGGCCTCGTCCCGGGCGCAGACCTCCTGGACCTCTTCGCCGAGACGCCGGCCCTGGTCCCTGGCGATGTTGGCCTCTTCCGCGGCAGTCACTACGTTCTGTTTCTCCACTTCGAGGCGCGTCATGAGGCCCGCATTACGGTACTTGAGGCCAAGAATGTCGGATCGCGCTTCGATGAGCCGGATCTTGGCCTCCAGCAGGGCGTGGTGCGCTTCACGGATCTTGTCGATGAGAGCCTTTTGCCGGACGACCAACTTGGCCCTCTTCAGTGCCGCCTTGTCCCAGTCGTACTGGAGGTCCTGTATGCTCTTTCTTGCGTCGCGCATGGCTTTCTCGTGCGATGCTTTGACGCGTTCTTCCGACTCTATCTTCTCTGGCAATGACTGCCACTTTTGGTACTCACGCTGCAAAGCGCTCTTTTCGTTCTTCAACGTCGTCTGCAATCGCATCAGTATAATTACCAGTAAGAAGCATGTACGCTTCTACTCACAATCTTGTTGTTGATGTCGTCTTTCTGTTCGTCGATGGCGCTTTGCTTCGTCTTGAGTTCATTATGCTCCGTCTTCAGAATATCCCTCTCGCCCCTCTTCTCAGTGAGCTGTCGGTTGAGCTCCGCTTTCTCTTGCGCATCAATAGGCTGTGATGTCCAAAATCTGCCCGGCTGTATGTTCTTGCTGACTGTCGTCATGGCCTGTGGGCCGTACTCTCTGCGCCGTCGCACCATGTACGAGTGCTTGCCGGCGGCCCAGTTGTTAACCTTGCCGCTGTGGATCAGTCTCTCGTATTCTGCATCGTTGTGGTCCTTGAGGGCAACACCAGACTGATGGACTCTCTTCTCCGCACAGAGCATCGCCAGGACGGGTGCTGGGCCATCGAGGTAGTCAATGGCGAACCCATCAAGTCCTAGGGTCCTGGCCTCGTTGGCGTCTACTGGTGGCCTAAACGATTCCAGGGGTGCTGCGCAGGTTCGAATGACAACAGACAGGCTCATGACTCGGTAGAGCTGGTCGGTCAGCTTCTTGTAATCGCCTTTGGTCTGGGCGGTGAAGCACATGAAGTCGTCCGGCTGAAGAAGCGACTGCACCTGGTCCGAGTAACGCTCGTCTTTAATCGAGCAACTTATCATCGGGGGGCCAAAGACCTCTTTCTCAAAGCCGTCTTGATGCTGTTGGACCCACTCCCATCCCTGGGCGATTTCCGGAAAGTGCTTCCTCATGAAATTGAGTTGTTGGCCTTCTTGGGTGTCGAGCCCCTCGATGTTCTCTTGTATTCTGCGCATCTCGCTGACGATGACCTTGCCCTTGTCTCTGACGTCGCCCATCTGTGCTGACAGCTGCCTATATTCTGCGTCAAGCTCACGCAACGAATGCTCTTCGGCACGCTACATCAGACCTGGTTAGAAAATGGAGACAAGTTTGAAGCCAAGAAAGGTGGCTTACAATCTTCTGGTTCCAGTCGGCGGCGTTGAACTCCGATGGCCGGTTCCTGAGGTCCGCCTGGTAGGCCGTAAGCTTCGTCTTGGAATTGGCGAGGTCCCTCTTCTTGGAGTCGAAGCCCTTGCGCTCGGCCTCGAGCCTGTTATTCATCTCATAGACATCTTCAGCCGCCGAGGCCACCTCACGGGCCATGCTCTGAGCAGCGTGTTCGGCATCCTTTAGCGCCCTCTCCTTGCCGGGTATCGCGTTCTCGATGAGCTGCGCGTATTCCTGCTTTGCGTTGACCGCCTCGAGGGAGGGTCCGCATTCCTGTTCCAGACGCCGCAGAGCACGCTCGGCCCCCTTCTTCCGCTCCCGGGCTTGCGAGTATCTCGTCCGAGCCTCGGTGTATTTGGAGAAGACGAGGGCAGACTGGAGGTTGCTGACTCGCTCCTGGATTTCTTGGCGTTCCCGGATCCTATCCACGTCTGCTTGCAACCCCTGTTGTCGGTTCTCGAGGTTCCGGAGGGATTCATTGTCCGCGTGGACCGTTTCGGCGAGGTCCTTCTTGTCCTTGTGGAGTTTCCGAAGCTGCGCCTGCCATTCCAGCATCTCCTCAGGCGCCGCAGCACGCAGCGTCTCACGGAGCAGGTCAACCGGGGTGCAGGCGGCGAACTCGACCACCCTGTCCTGCGGCAGGAACTGGCAGAGGTTGTCCACCTGGATCTTGAGCGACTGCATGAGTGCCTGGATGGCCTTGTGTGTCGTCTCCTTGCCATTCAGCCACCACTTCTGGCTATTTTGTTCGCGGCGGATCTGGACTCGGATGACGTAGTTGGACCGATCCTTTGGCTTCTTCTGCAACTCGATCTCGATGGTGGCCGTGTCCTTGCCGTGCTTGACGAACTCCTTGACCGAGCCGGCTCGCCCTAAGTGCTTTGGTCCGTATCCGAGACCCAGACATATGGCGCAGACCAACGAGCTCTTGCCGGTGCCATTTGGACCGATGACCATGTTCAGGTTAGGCCCCGGGAAGAACTCTGCCTCTTCGTATGTTACGAAGTTCTGGACCTTGACGCGCACGATGGAGCCAGGGTGGAAGTCCTTCATGGTGTCTCCATTTACGACGCCGTTGTTTGCGGCCCCGTTGACGCGTCGCGCAGAGGCAGGAGCGGCAACGGGAGAAGCATTGCTGGTGTCGTCGTCGTCATCGTCTGACTCGGGCTCGACGCGGCGTCGCTTGGGCGTGTCGGAAGCTTGGGATGATGCGCCGTAGCGCGGGTCGTCGCTTTCGGCTCCGTCTTCAGACTCGTCGCGCGGTCGACGACGAGCTGTAGGGCGCGCCATGGCGCCTGAACCGTCTGGCCGTCGCAGTGATGGCCGATGAACAAGGCGACACGTCGACTGTGGACGTCGACGTCGACTTGAGGGTGTGAGGTGGTGATGGCGAAGCCAAGTAATTAACCAACGTTGCGTGGAGACGCGTGCACGCGCGTGTCGGCAAGGCAGTTCAACCCCACCATAAGCCCAAAATCCTCCGTTGGCCGTTCCAGTTCACGCTCGACACCCACGAAGCACAGTGGCAACTGAGTTAGGCAACCAAGCCGACCCCCGATCAAATGGACGACCAAAAAAAGACCATACAAAACGAAGAGGACAAGAGCATCGTCGGAGGCTCAACAAGAACAAAAAAAGCTCAAAAAGAAATGCGTGATCTGGGAATCGAACCCAGGGCTCCCCGACGTTGCTCGGATGGCAACGGAGAATTTTACCACTAAACCAATCACGCTTGTTTCTTGTTGAAGACAGCTGACTTATCTCAATACATATTGGCTTGGCGCTTCCCGAACTGTTCCACGACGCTGACCCCTTGTTTCCTGCCGGTTCATCTTTCGAGACGCATGAATCCGTAGCCCATTTGGCATGGATAACCTCGCCAGAGCAGCTGTTACGGCTTCTACACTCGACCACCGCCCCCCGTTCGCTGCTGGTATTTTTAGAAGCATGTCGGCATCTATTTCAGGGGCCGGTCTTGGCAATATTCTCCTAGCGTCGCCAAACAGCCACAACTCTGGAGGTTCCGCGACTCGAAATCTTGCTTTCTCGCGAGTCGCAATGCGCGCCGACGCGCAGCATTTTTTTGCCAGGCCCCGCGGGCACCGGCTTTCGCTTCTATTTGCGGTCAATTCGCCCGTAAAGGCGGCTGAGAAGCATCATATCATTTGACATCACACCTTGGCCCTCGATGAGCCGAGTGGCTATGGAGCGGCCTCAGCCACGCCCCAATATGGATACGAAGGTTGGCCTCTCGGTGCTCCACCAAGGCACAACCACGAGGCTTCTCCCGCCGAGTCTAAATCTAAAGGGTAAATTCGTCGATATTTTATCTATCATGGCCTGGGTCTTCTGGCCAGAGGGGACTCGAGCTGTTTCGTGAATCTCAGACAACACTGCAGCCTCCAAGTCGTCGTCACCAAGCTGAACCGCCGAGGCCAACTTCAAAATGAACAGTCCGCGTATCATACTGGACCAGCATGGGGATATCACATTGCAAGTCGGAGGGCCGGACGAGACAGACAAGACGGATTTTGTCGCTTGCTCCCGAACCTTGGCTCGCGTCTCTCCCGTATTCGATCGCATGCTGTACGGGACTTTTGCCGAGGCGAAATCTAACCAGGAGTCCCCCGACGATTGGACCATCAACCTTGGAGACGACAATCCTGCCCCCATGAAAATCTTCCTGAACATAGCACACGCCAACTTCTCGGAAGTGCCAAAAGCCCTGACCGTTGGAGACTTGTACGACCTGGTAGTCTTGACCCATTACTACGACGCGACCCGGCTGCTGACCCCCTGGGTCGAGACATGGATGTCGTCGCTCGGCAGCGGACAACAAACACCGCCCAGCGACATGCCGAAATTGCTCTGGATATCGTGGGAGTTTGGCCGGAAAGAAGATCTCACGACAATTTCACGGCAAATGCTGTTGGAGTTTGACGGCAACTGGTTCAACGACACGGACAACCTCGAAGATATCCAGACACCGCCATACATCATCGGTGAGTGACGGGACCCGGCTGCACTGTTGGTATGGAAGGCTTACGGAAAGGAAGAGAGGATGGTATCGATCCGGTCCAATACGATTCAGAAGCTGCTGGACATTTTTCACGACATGGTTGAGACCCTCACGGTCGTGGATGAGAAACCCAGATGGTGCCATCACGCGACGTGGATGGGGCACCACAGATGCGAGTCCATGATCCTGGGCTCCATGACTTTTTGTCTAACTCGGGCAGGGTTGTGGCCGCTGCCAGATCCTTCCGAAGTGCAGTACAGTCTCGTCGGGCTATACAGGAAGCTGACGAGCTTGATCATTCACGACATTGGCGATGTGAAGGGGACGCCTTCCGAAAATCACCAGCGGTGCAACCCTCGAGAACACTTGTTGCACCAGGTGCAAGAGGTCATGAACGGGATCCCGGATCTTTTGACAGACTACCATAAGAACCGCATGGAAGAGCAATCGCAGGGGCTTGTGGGCTAGACTTAACGTTGCGCCAGGTGCGCTTTTGGGGTGGCAGTGTAATACTTTTCCGGCGGATATCCTCATCTGTTGTGTTACCTTGCAAACAGCCAGTGGTCGAGCGGGGCGTAGAGACGGTGTCGGCTCTCAGTTCCTTTAGCCGCCTCAAATATGAATTACGAGTACTCGAGTACGGGCGGCTGAATGTCGCCAATAGCTTCCGAGAGCGCTTGAACGGCCGACTCTGGCAATGGACCGCTTCATAATCGGTCGGAATGCTCGATTCAGCTCAGAGTCGCTTCGGAGTGCGGCGGTAAACATGAAGTGGCGGCAGATGGGACCATCTACCCTGTAGGTCCCGACGACCTCTTCGAGAACCCTACCCAGGCATCTCCCGGCTTGGATCCAGCGTCCATTGGTCCGATCAAGATAACTAGGAGGTTCTGCCCTCGGCACCAGCAATTGCCTCCAAGCGTGAGGAATATGCTCGCGCCACCAAGTCATATCTCGAGTGTAGCAGCAAAGAGCGAGGGCGCTGGCGCGTCGTAAGACGTCTCGAATGTTGAACGATCGGCGGGTGGGGTCTCGCAGTATTTCTAAATCCGGCCAGGGCCTCGCTGGGGTTCTTTATCCACAACATGCGCGCCCTGCTTTGACGGCACGCAACGTCGTCGATGGCGGGGCAGGCAAGGCGGGAGCTCGCGCCGCCGTCAAGCCACCAACGGCGCACGGGCAGGGGCGGGAAATCGGCTTAGTCACGCGACATCCCTGCCCGCCAAGCCATGCGACGACATCCCTTGAATTCCAGTGAGACTCTGCTTGAGCTGCCCTCGCCTCCCGCCTCTCGAGATGGCCTCGGGCGCGGATGCCCCCAAAACGACCTGTCGAATGGGGGGTAGCAGTGTTTTAGTGCGTCCTCTGCGATACAATATGCGAGCTCAAGGCGTCGTTGCGCGGCAACAAGTCGTCTGCACGCTGTTTTTTTCCCCGAAGTCCGCTGGACAACACGACGCAATGCATCGTCGAGCGCTCGACCCTCGCGACGCCGCAACGGGGTTCTACATCGAGTGACCAGACCTCTGGACAATAAGCCACCGGCGTCGGCTCACGTTGCGTGGTGGCGGGACGCGGCGACAGATGCGGCGCGCGCGTGATGCACCTTCGAGACAAAGACACGAGCTCTTGCATACGTACATGGTGCCGAGGCGCCGCAGCCCATCGGGCCGGAGCATCGCGGACTGGCATTGTTTCATTTGGGACTCGCAGCGGGCAGCGGGGTTGGGGCCTCCTTCAATTTGCCGTGGCCGCCGGGCGGCTGGAATGCGTCGTGATGGCACAATCTCGCATCACTTCCACTTTGCGCGCGGCCCCGCCACGGGCGGCGCTGCGGCTGGCATTGAGGTAGCGTGCCTGGCTGCGGGCTTGCATGTCCGACGTGGCCAGGCTGGGCAGGTGTAGTCGATGCGCTGCAATGCGTCGCTTGTGACCCTCCCGTCCCCCATTCGCTCTGCGGTTTCCAGCGCACACACGGGCAGTAGGTACCCATGCCCGGCCCAGCCCAGCGCCTGGGCTGGATCCAATGCCAGCGATCGGTCGCTGCGTGTTCCAGTTCCAGCGAGGTGCGCTACCCGGCCTCCCTTGCGACCTCACCTCGACCACTGCCAGCCCCAGCCCCAGCCGCCTAGAAGACACCGCTTTAGCACTGCACCTCGCCTGTTCACACCACTCACACCACCTACAGCGCCGAGCACCACGAAAACATTGCATTCCTTCCCGGGACAGGACGAGACGTTGCAGCCGTTCGTTCCTCCTCTCAACTCGTCCGCGTCCCCTCTCGCTCGTTTTCTCTCTTACCCTCGTTCGCCCGCGCGGCACGTCTCGTCTGCTTCCAACCTCGTCCATGTAGCCGCGCGAGTGGTGTCTGTCTCTCTTGTCCGCCTCGGTCGCCATCATCTCATCACGGGCCTTGTCTGTTTCCTTCTTGCATTCGTCTCGTCTCGACTATCGCGACCTTTTGTTGTTGTTTCTCGCCTGTACTGCATTCGCTCTCCCGTTTGGACGCTACCCTCGCTCATCAGTCGCCGCTGCAGCTTCATCCCGTCTTCCACCTACGCCGCGTCGTGGCCGTGTCTTGTCCGCAAACCGCGTCTCCCGAGTAGTATGTGCCAGTCTCGCCGGTAAGGGTCGCCAAGCTACATCATGGTAGAGGTCGCGGGCGCCAAAGTCCGCTCGCCGCTGGCCGAGACGACGAACCGCATCAACTCGCCCTTCCCGCCCTTTGAGCAGCAGCCACACGGAAAGCCGCGTCCTGATCACGCCGAGGCACGCCACGCTCACGCTCACACTCACGCGCATGCACAGGCACAGACTCGCCGCACCGTGCCCAACCCCATGGCTGAGAACTCCCGGCCCTCAACTTCACATGGCGTCCCCGCTCACGCCCCCGCAGTCTTGAGCCCGCCAAAGCAGACTGACGACGATAAGCGGTTCTCTCAGGCCTCGTACGCGTCCTCGTCGAGCAGCCGCAGCAAGAGGAGCTACAAGACGCATGTCGGCCCGTGGCAGCTTGGAAAGACCTTGGGCAAGGGGTCGTCGGCACGCGTCCGCCTGTGCCGCCACAATGTGACCAGACAACTCGCCGCTGTCAAGATCGTCAACAGGCGGATGGCGTATCTGGTTCAAGATAGCAGCTTGGCCGCCCTGAGCAAGTGGGACAGCAGTCTCCCCGAGCAGATCAATGGCGAGATGCGCGTCCCCATGGCCATCGAGCGCGAGGTGGCCATCCTCAAGCTTATCGAACACCCAAACATCATGAGACTGTACGACATTTGGGAAAATCGCTCCGAAATGTGAGTTGCTGTTGGTCTTTGCTGCTGAGCGTAGGCACTTGGTCTGACCGCAAGACAGATACCTGATTCTCGAGTACATTGACCGTGGTGATCTTTTCACCTTCATCAACACATACGGACGCCTGTCGGAGGAGACGTCCATTTTCTTTTTCCGCCAAATGATCAGCGCCATCGCTTATTGCCACTCGTTCAACGTCTGCCACCGAGACCTGAAGCCCGAGAACATTCTAATTACGAACGACCTTCAGATCAAGATTGCCGACTTTGGCATGGCTGCCCTGCACCAGACAGACACCCATCACCTTGCCACGGCCTGTGGAAGCCCTCACTACGCCGCGCCGGAGCTGCTCAAGAATCGACAGTACCGCGGAGACCGCGCTGACATTTGGAGCCTGGGCGTTATCCTATATGCCATGCTCTCCGCCACACTCCCCTTTGACGATCCTGACCTGCGCGTCATGATGGCCAAGACCAAGAAGGGCCACTACGAGATGCCGCGATGCGTCAGCCCCGAAGCTGCCGACCTCATCCGACGCATGCTCCAAGTGAACCCCGACCGCCGCATTACCCTCAAGGAGATCTGGCGTCACCCCCTCGTTCAGAAGTATAACTATGTCGACCACTTTGGCGACATCACTGGTCAGTTGCCGGACACGCGAAAAGGCTTCCAATACACCCCGGTGCTGCGCAGCGAGATCGATCCGCAGCTTCTCAGGCAGCTCCGATCCATGTGGCACATGTTCAGCGAACAAGATCTTGTGCTCAAGCTCTCATGCGACGAGTAAGTCCTACGAGACAGCAGTGTTCGCGACGATGCTAACATCAAGGTAGACCCAATGACCAGAAGGCCTTCTACTGGTTGCTTTATAACTATCGGGATAAGCAGCTAGAGGACTTCAAACCCGAGCTGGCACACTCTATGAGCGATTACCACCATCTCAAACCTGCCATTTGGAAGAAGAAGGTGTCGACGTGCGAGTTTGCGCAGCCTCGCGGCAACGGCCACGGCCGATCCATCTCGCGCTTCACCGTCATCTCCAACGCCGCAGAAACCGAAGCCGGAACTGACAAGAGTTACGACCCCTACAGAGGCAGCCGCATGCTTCAAGGATGCGAGCCGGAGGCCAGCCACGCCAGGATTGTCATTCACCGGGATGCCGAGACGACGAGCGTCAAGAGCACGACGAGAGCTCGAAGCGGCTCCAACGCTCGACGAGCGCGCGCCAACTCTGCCAGAGCTGCGTCCATCATGGCCAAGCAGCCATCGCGAGGCTCTTTGCTGTCCCTCCGCAGCAATAGACAGGGTACACCTGCCGTGGCGATTCCAGCTTTGCGGCACAAGCGTGGAGTCGACTTTTCGCATGTTAGGAGGCGGTCGACCTCTGCTGGTTATGCGAAGCGGCAACCCACTCGTCTGCGCACAACGGCCTCGGTTGCGGGCGACGGATCGATGTATCAACAGGAGGCAGCACGATCTCCTTCCCCCGAGCTTATCCGACAAGCAGATGGCACGCATCCCAAGGCTAATGGCGCCCCGAAGAATGGCGTATCTATGATCTTTAATGAAGAGCTCCGCCACTTCAGCAACAGCTGCGCCAAGGACTGCGATGAGGCGTTCAAGGGCACGCTGGCCGAGGCCGAATCTGCTGGCGGCTCGTGGACGGACGCGGAGAAGAAGGGGCGCGACTCGACTCCCTTCTCCGTAACTGTCGACAGCCCGACAGTGACCACTCCTGCTACCGACAGATCGAGTGCCGCCTCGTGGCAAAGTCGACCGCTACCTCCGCTGCCCTCTGAGGACCCCTCGAAGCAGTTCCTGACCCCGAGCCTTCGTGACGTCGAGTCTGAGCTTGACTTTGGTGGCGAGGAGAATACTGATTCGATGTCCGCGACGCATGACGGGCCTCACCTGGCCGTTCCAGTGATGCTGTCGAAACACACTGATCGACGGGTTGTCTCCGCCCCAGTGCACAACCACCAGCCAGGCCGCAAGCTCACTACGCTGCCATCCATTCACGAAAATACAGCGTCGGTTGTGGAAGGTGACGGAACAAGAGTCGTCTCGGCTCCACCGCATGGAAAGAGCAAGAGGTCGAATGACGTTGATAGGAGCCTCGACTATCTTAGCAAGGTCGAGCACACTATTCGAGTCGTCCACTCGCCCGGATCGACGAGCCCCGTCAAGATGCCCGAACCGCTCAACGTGCAGAAGAAGTCAGTGACGGAGGACTTTGGACACAAATTGCATCGGCATCTTGCATACAATGCGGAAAAGTACGATGATGATGTGGTCGAGCGTCCGGCAGCGGACTCCACCGAAACCAAGAAGAAGAAGACCTCGTGGTTCAGACGGGTGTCCAAGGCGGAATCTGCCTCAGCCGCCAGCGAAGCAAAGACGGCCCGAAACTCCATTGCGTCCAAGCAGTCCTCGGACGCCGATGTGATCGCTCCTGCGGCGAAGAAGAAAGCATTCACCTTTCCCTTCTGGAAGAGCAACAAGGAGAAGGACACGGGTATGATTGTGGAAGGTAAGTGGGACAGGATGGCAACCCCCGGTCTTGCGCACCACAGACTGACTTGTGGAACAGGGCCGGTCCGTGCTGCGGAGGACAAGATGGCGGCGAGGCACTCTCGGCAGCAAGACCTGGGCGACTCTGGTTCAGGCAGCATTCGAAACGTGGCAGTGAAGCAGAACTGGCTTACGCGGCTGTTCCGCGTGAAGCCCGCGACGAGCTACATCTGCATGACGCTTTCGCGCAAGCGGGCCCGACAGGAAGTCGCCATCCTGCTGCGGGAGTGGCGACGCTACGGCATGCGGGGGATCCAGGTGGACAAGCAGCGCAACATTGTCTTTGCACGGCTCGGAGCTAAGAACTGTAAGTTGAGGACGAGCCTCGAGGTAGGACATGCTTGCTGACACGAGGCGCAGATCTGAACCTCAAGGAAGTGGAGTTTGCTGCCGAGGTGATGACGGTCATCGAGCACGGCAAGAAGCAGCCGCTGAGCATCGTGCGCTTCACGCAAGAGCGAGGTGCTGCGAGCAGCCTCCACAGAATCGTCGACACGATGCGCATCATGTTTGACAGCCGCCACCTGGTGGTTGCGGACAAGAACAAGCAGAAGATGATGATCAAGACGCTGAACGCGTGAGCTGCGTCCGTCCTGGTGTGAGTTTGTGTGTCGGAATATCTGCTTGAAAATACTTCGTACAACTGCCGATAAAGTCTGGGCGGCAAGCATCGGTGCAGAGGCACCGCCGCTTCACCGGCCAGCAGGTGGACTGCTTTCTTTCTTGGCGCAGGGAGTTGGCTTGGCGAGGGGGCACAGGGGATGGTTGGTTTCTCCATGGGCCAAGGGTGTTTGGTTGGATCATCCAATTGCTAGTTGGGAAGGCTACGAAGTACCTTGGGATCGAAATGGCATGTTTATCAGACATGCTTGGGGGCTGTGGTATAGGGCTTTCTTGTTGATGTTGGACGTCTAGTTAATTTGGACGAGGACTGGACTGGAGGGGCTTGTACCTGACCTGCGGAAGTGGCTCCAACAGGACTTGGCTGTATTCTTAGTTGTTCAGTCAAAATTGAAGGCTTGACATGTACTAGACAACGGAGCACTGCATCATGGTTTGACAAATTTGTGCTGGCCGAGGTGGAATGGCAGTGTCCAACAGGGAACCGTTCTGCATTCCGGAATCCGGAGTTTACCCCGGATAATCCGTCGCTTTCCGATGCCATGGCCGGCAGAAGGCACCGGTGCGGCGGGACCCGAAAAATAACCGGGTCCGGCCCCCCAGGCTATTCTGAGTCCCAACGCGTTTCCGTTGAGGCGGGAATTGAGCAGCCGGTCGCAGGGAAGTGTGTGAGAGGAAAAAAAAATAACACAAGTGAGAAAAGCCGCTGCTCGAGCTGCACCCCTTTCCCACGACAGCAAGACGCCAATTGGTCCCCGCGAGCAGATCGCCCAGACGGTATCAAACTCAGCCAGACGAAGAGACCGAAGAGCGCTAGGGAAAGCCAGGATGTTGCGAACAGTGACGGCGAGCAGGGCGGCGGGAGCGGCGTGCATGCCGAGGACGGCGGCTAGCAGAGCTGCCGCTGCGACTTGGTCGTCATCACGGGCGGCGGGCGTCTTCGCAGCCACCACCACCACCACATGCGGCCGGACCCCGCAGCAGCAGCAGCGCCGCCTCCTCGGTTCCTCATCATCCAGTTCCACCATCATCATNCACCACCACCACATGCGGCCGGACCCCGCAGCAGCAGCAGCGCCGCCTCCTCGGTTCCTCATCATCCAGTTCCACCATCATCATCACCGGCAGCCGCAGCAGGGGCTTCCACAGCACAGCACGCATCATGGCGCCCGCGACGACGCGAACCGAGAGCGATGCCTTTGGCGAGATCCAGGTCCCCGGGGACAAGTACTGGGGCGCGCAGACGGAGCGCTCGCTCGAGAACTTTCGCATCAACCAGCCCCAGGACCNTGCCTTTGGCGAGATCCAGGTCCCCGGGGACAAGTACTGGGGCGCGCAGACGGAGCGCTCGCTCGAGAACTTTCGCATCAACCAGCCCCAGGACCGCATGCCGCCGCCCATTGTCAAGGCGTTTGGTATCCTCAAGGGCGCGGCCGCGACGGTCAACATGCGCTACGGCCTTGGTGCGTGACCCAAGACTGGGTGCCCGTTCCTGGGTGCTCTTGCTCTTGCTCTGCTTCCTTACTGACTTGCCTGTCCAATTCCTTACAGACCCCAAGATCGGCCAGGCCATCCAGCAGGCCGCCAAGGAGGTGGCCGACGGCAAGCTGCTCGACCACTTCCCCCTCGTCGTCTGGCAGACGGGCTCGGGCACGCAGTCCAACATGAACGCCAACGAGGTCATCTCCAACCGCGCCATCGAGATCCTGGGCGGCCAGATGGGCAGCAAGAAGCCCGTCCACCCCAACGACCACGTCAACCGCAGCGCCTCGTCCAACGACACCTTCCCCACCGTCATGCACATCGCCGCCGTGCTCGAGCTCGAGGGCGACCTGCTCCCCGCGCTGCGCAGCCTGCGCGCCGCCCTGCAGGCCAAGGTGGACGCCTTCGAGGCCAAGAACATCATCAAGATCGGCCGCACCCACCTGCAGGACGCCACGCCCCTGACGCTGGCGCAGGAGTTCTCGGGCTACGTCGCGCAGCTCGACTTTGGCATCAAGCGCGTCGAGAGCTCGCTGCCGGACCTGCGGCTGCTGGCGCAGGGCGGCACCGCCGTCGGCACGGGCATCAACACCTTCAAGGGCTTCGCCGAGGCCATCGCCGAGGAGGTGACGCGCATGACGGGCACCGAGTTCAAGACGGCGCCCAACAAGTTCGAGGCGCTGGCGGCGCACGACGCCGTGGTGCAGGCGCACGGCAGCCTCAACACGCTCGCCACGTCGCTGACCAAGATCGCCCAGGACATCCGCTACCTGGGCAGCGGGCCGCGCTGCGGCCTCGGCGAGCTGGTGCTGCCGGAGAACGAGCCGGGCAGCAGCATCATGCCGGGCAAGGTGAACCCGACGCAGTGCGAGGCGCTGACCATGGTGTGCGCCCAGGTCATGGGCAACAACGTGGCCACCACCATTGGCGGCATGAACGGCCAGTTTGAGCTCAACGTGTACAAGCCGCTCGTGATCCGCAACCTGCTGCACAGCTCGCGCCTGCTGGCCGACGGCATGCGGTCGTTTGAGAAGAACCTGGTGGCGGGGCTGCAGGCCAACGAGGAGAAGATTGCCAGCATCATGAAGGAGTCGTATGTGTTTCCCTCCCTCCCTTTTCACACCTTCCACGGCGTATAACCCCTTCCCCCGCCGTCGGATGTTTTGACGAGTGATTGCTGACCAAACGGGCGATGATCAGGCTCATGCTCGTCACCTGCCTCAACCCCAAGATCGGCTACGACATGGCCAGCAAGGTGGCCAAGAACGCGCACAAGAAGGGCCTGACGCTCAAGCAGAGCGCGCTGGAGCTGCAGGCGCTGACCGAGGACGAGTTCGACACGCTGGTCAAGCCGGAGCTCATGGTCGGCCCCAGCGAGTTCAAGCAGTGAGCGGGCAGCAATGTGCGTGCGTCCGTGAGCCGGTGGTAGCCACCACGCGGCTGGCGCTGCACCCCCCCGCTCCCTTCCCCCGCGTGTCTGCATGTCATGCCACGCCATGCAGGGCCGGGACCGGTTGTGGTGTAGAAGAGGAGAGATGTGGGAAGAGGACTGTTTGAGAAGCGCGGTGAGACGGGCTCAGCAGGACCGGGGACAAGGCGAAAGATAGACAGAACCCTGGACGGGGGCGCCGTCTCGCCGCGGTGTACTACATAGCTTTTGAACCTACGGCAGCATTTACCGGAGCCAAAAATACAGCGCGCATTGTAGGAGTCAAAACCCACGAGGTGTCTGAGCAGTGGATTGGGGGTTCTCGCGGCGGGCAGGGGAACGAGGCGCTCTTTATCGAGCGGCACGCGCGACACCAGCAACTAGTCGAGGAGGATCGGTGGTTGCATACCTAATCAAGCCACGGGCTGCCGTCGCCGCAACCCTGTCACGTCCATCTCGCCTGTCGAGGCAGGCCGTCTCGACTCTTGTGTACGTCTGTACTGTACAAGCACCACTAAGTTACGTATGAGTACTCTAATAATGCGACCGCCTGCCCGCCACCACCCCTGCCAATGCCTTGAGCCGAGCCCCCCGTCGATCGACCGAGCGACAGACGACTTGCCTACGTTGCTGCCAGAGCGGCGTCGACCCTCATTCTCTTAGCACAGGTCATGGGCGATGCTGGTGGTGGTGGTGACCGAAGCCGAAGGCCCGGGAGTTTCCGGTCGGCAACCGGAGAATGGAGGGCCTGCAGCGCGGACGGGGGGTGGTTCCTCTTGTGTGGATCGAGGGCGGCGGTGGGGCGGCAGCAGCCTCGGCTGCTCGGTCGGGCGTGGGGAAGCAGCTCTTGCGAAAGCTGTCGCAGCGTTCAAGTCCGTAAGAGATGCGTCATGCCTGTCACGGCAAACGCGCCTGGGCACGGGGCTTATTCTGACTCTGGCAGGAGGAGGACAAGGCCGTTCCAGGCGCTCGCCGAGTCCTCCTCCCTCTCACACCCCTGGCCAAGGATCACCAGCAGCGGATGAGATATCAGGACTCAAACGGCTCACTTCGTCCCCGTGCTGGCCACAATCGTTGCAATCCACGCCGTGGGGCGTGCTGTTGCCGCTGCAGCGCAATCTTGAAGCGATCGTGAGGCGCCGATGGGGCTGGAGACGGGCGGGGCGGGCGCTGGGACCAAAGGTGAGTGAGCAGCACCTCAGGCGCGGCGAGGTCGGTGGCGGGCCGGAGGGCACCTGGGCGAGGAGCGCCTCGGCAGCGGCCGCTCCGCACAGCAAACGGCCGGCGGCGGGCGCTGGCTGCCGACACGCGCTCTGCGCAGCCCCCGTCCGTGCATGCCACAGCGCTGGGCGCAGGGTCTGCAGGCGCTGTATTTCAGATTACAGCGCCTGAGAGCGCGCTCCAACACCTCAGGGGCGAGCGGCGCTGCTACCCCGCAGCCTCCGATGACCGCCCCCCGCCCGCCAATCCCCACCCGCCGCCATGGCCGGAGAGCCAAGTGCGCGCTCCATGCACATGCCGGGCGTGGCAGGCGCCCGCAGTTGATTGGGGAGGGGCCCCCCCCCCTCTCTCTGCCTCGCCTCTGTCTGGGCCTGGGGCAGTTCCAGTTACTGTGTGGCTAGCTTTGGTCAACGTATATCCGTACACCCGAGCAAGACCGATGGGTGCCGAAGAACGGACAGAGTGGGAACCGGGGCCTGGCGATGGGTGATGGCGGCGGCGAGGCGGCGGCGACTTCGGGTCACAGAATTAGGTACTGTGGTAATCTACAGGGAAACAGGCCATTGGGCCTTGTACCGGTTCTGCCCAGGGAGCCTGGCAACGCTGCAATACGGTGCTGGTGCAGGTACAGGTACTAGTTTCGCACGGCGTGCTGGAAATCGCGGAGGCGCAACCGCCGGTGGTGGCCCGCGCTGAAGCTCCCATAGCCGGGGTTGTAGCAGTGGGTGGTAGCGGTGGTGGTGGTGGTGGTGGTGCAGCACGGGCTGGTGGTGGTGGTGGTGGTTGGTGACGCTTCTGACGTAGCACCCTCATCTTTTATCAATGCCGCGCGCCTCTCTCGTCCTCCTTCCCTCCCTTCGCCCCGAGAAGTTAACTTGACCTCCTCCTCATCCTCGGCTCCTTCCTCGCACAATTCCCCTCATCTCCATTATCCCATTTCTCGTGATACCATCATTTGGATTTCCAGACGCCCAAGTGATCAAAGGCTGGTTCGTCATTCTTCCCTCTTGTCCCACACTGCCGCCCGCTGCCGCCGTCTTATATGGTGACGGCTGCTGCGAGCGCGCCGCCGGCTCGGATATTCCCCATACTGACACGTGAAAGCAGAGAGAGGCGCTCCACGAAAACCGCAAAACCACCAAAAGCTCGAGGCATCTTTTCCCGTCCGAGCGTTTCTTTTCCTCCTTCAAAACCTCCTCCCCTCATACCCAAGCCCCTTTCCATTCCATCGGTTTTGAGGGTTCCCCGGAACTTGCGTACCTCGTGCCGGCCCACAACCTCGGCATCGCCAACACCACCACCAGAACATCACCATCATCACCACCGTCTTTCTTCGAGAGAAGAAAAGAGAAGGAAAAGAGAAAAAAAACACCACCGCAAAAATGGCCACCACAGAGTCCATCCTCCAGGGCGTCACCGTCCTCGGCAAGGTCGACGAGGCGCACCGCAAGATCCTGACGCCGCAGGCCCTCGCCTTCCTCGCCCTGCTGCACCGCTCCTTCAACGCCACCCGCAAGAACCTGCTCGAGCGCCGCAAGCTGCGCCAGGCCGAGCTCGACCGCGGCGTCCTGCCCGACTTCCTGCCCGAGACGCGCCACGTCCGCGAGAACCCCACCTGGAGGGGCGCCGTCCCGGCCCCGGGCCTCGTCGACCGCCGCGTCGAGATTACGGGGCCGACGGACCGCAAGATGGTGGTCAATGCGCTCAACTCGGATGTCTTTACCTACATGGCCGACTTTGAGGGTGAGTCTGCTTTTGCCACTCTTGCCCATTCTTCATGCTGTTTGTCTGTGAGTGGGTGAGTGGGTGAGTGAGTGTGTTGGTGGTGAGGCTCTCACTCGCTCTGGGCGGGCGAGTGAGGCGACGCCTCAACACCAAGGCCGGCTACATCACGATGCTACCACTCACGGCTCACGCAGCCCACCGCCAAAAGAAAATATTGCCTTCTTTTAAAGCTCCACGTGCTGACATGGGAAAACCCCCCAGACTCCTCCGCCCCCACCTGGGAAAACATGATCAACGGCCAGGTCAACCTCTACGACGCCAACCGCCGCCAGGTCGACTTCAAGCAGGGCCAGAAGGAGTACAAGCTGCGCACCGACCGCCGCCTGCCGACGCTCATTGTCCGCCCCCGCGGCTGGCACCTCGAGGAGAAGCACCTCATCGTCGACGGCGAGCCCATCTCGGGCAGCCTGTTCGACTTTGGCCTGTACTTCTTCCACAACGCCTTTGAGACGCAGCGCCGCGGCTTCGGCCCCTACTTCTACCTGCCCAAGATGGAGAGCCACCTCGAGGCCCGCCTGTGGAACGACGCCTTCAACCTGGCCCAGGACTACATCGGCATGCCGCGCGGCACCATCCGCGGCACCGTCCTCATCGAGACCATCCTCGCCGCCTTCGAGATGGACGAGATCATCTACGAGCTGCGCGACCACTCGTCGGGCCTCAACTGCGGCCGCTGGGACTACATCTTCAGCACCATCAAGAAGTTCCGCAACAACCCCAACTTTGTGCTGCCGGACCGCTCCTGCGTCACCATGACGGTGCCCTTCATGGACGCCTACGTCAAGCTGCTCATCCAGACGTGCCACAAGCGCGGCGTCCACGCCATGGGCGGCATGGCGGCCCAGATCCCAATCAAGGACGACAAGCAGGCCAACGACCGCGCCATGGACAACGTCCGCGCCGACAAACTGCGCGAGGCGCGCGCCGGCCACGACGGCACCTGGGTCGCCCACCCGGCCCTCGCCTCCATCGCCCTCGACGTCTTCAACAAGCACATGCCCACGCCCAACCAGCTCTTCGTGCGCCGCGAGGACGTCAAGGTCGGCCAGAACGACCTGCTCAACATGAACGTCCCCGGCAGCATCACCGAGGAGGGCATCCGCAAGAACCTCAACATCGGCCTCGGCTACATGGAGGCCTGGATCCGCGGCGTCGGCTGCGTCCCCATCAACTTCCTCATGGAGGACGCCGCCACCGCAGAGGTCTCGCGCAGCCAGCTGTGGCAGTGGGTCAAGCACGGCGTCTACACCGCCGAGGGCAAGCGCGTCGACAAGGCCTACGCCCTCAAGCTCCTCAAGGAGTCGGCCGACGCCCTGTCCGCCAAGGCCGGCAAGGGCAACAAGTACCACCTCGCCGCCCAGTACTTTGCCGGCCAGGTCACCGGCGAGGACTACGCCGACTTCCTGACGACGTGAGTTTTTCCCATCTCCATCATCGCCCGCCAAGATCATGCACATCCATGTACTGACAAGTCTTTCCTCGCAGGCTCCTGTACGACGAGATTACCGCCCCCGGATCCCCCAGCCCGGCGTCGAAGCTGTAGTCGGGGAAGACATGCGCGCTCGAGAGGAGTAAGTTGGGATGTAGTGGTTCGCGAAGGAAGGACAAATGGAGCCCTCATCGCGTGTTCTATTCGTGTCACGGTTACGGCAAATCCTGGAGTACTTGTTAGCTTTGTTCCCTCTCGTCGGAGGATGAAACGCCACCCCAAAAAAAAGAATCGTTGATCATCACAAGGAGAGCAGAGCAGCCCAGTCGCTGGCTGTGTCCCTGGAGGGGAGAGCGAGTGTGTGTGTGTGAGAGTGTATGCAGACGACGCGATGGCGGGACATGTCACTTCATCTCGTTTCTTGTAAGAAGTAGAAGAACCCCCCCAAAGAAATTGTACTGTAGTCCAGGAACATGTTTTTTTTTTGGTTGTTCGTCTCATCATCAGGAAGACGCACGCAACTGCGCGTGACCACGTCACCATCCCGGCAATGTCAATTTATATTCACCACGCCCGGCCGCTCCGCCCTGAACCCTCCGCCGCCGCCCACGCCGAACACAAAAAAAAAAAGGAAGGCCCCACGGAATCCATGAAACCCCGGCGTGACGTCGCCGTCTCCGCTACTATATCTTGACAGCGTAGGCGATATTAAGCATACAAGGTGTTTCCTCTGCGTGACGCATGTCCTGGGTTGGGCCACGAGCCCACGACCCAAAAACCCGGGGGGCGCGGCAATCTCGTGTTCCCCGAGTATGCATATACAATCCATTCATAATACTTCTCACCGCCGCATTTCTCTTCATCGCAGAGCGGGACGGACGGGTGGTCGCTGGTGATGGGGACTGGATCCACCGCGTTCGGCATTGACCGAGGGTTCATTACACCGTTTACTCAACAGCAGCATGAAGCGTTTTTCATTGCCAAGACGGTCAACTGCCCGTGGCATGATGCCGCTTCTGTTCCCGTGGCGTGTGCCCCCATTTTGCGCAAAGTGAGGCCCTCATGCTTCGTGATGTCGCGGTAGGCGTCCCCGACTTCGCCGGCATATAACACGTTCTTGGTCGAAATATAAAACGTACACATGGGAAGGGTCTCCCTGCGAATTGTTGTACATTGCCGTCACTCAGGAGTTCTCACTCGCTATTCTGCTCCCTGTCAATAATAAAGATAATAGTCTGCCCTTAAACCCTCGACGTTATCACACACGACACCACTCAACCTCAACCTCAACCTCAGCTCCTACGGACCAAATCCCTCACAATGCAACTTACCTTGCTGGTCTCCTTCGTCGCCAGCCTGGCCCTCCCCTTTGCCGCCGCCGCCGCCGCCGCCATGACGGCACACAAGCGCGTCGAGGCGCTCCGGCCGTGGGTCGTGAAGCCCAAGGACTTCGACTGGTACCGGTGCGACACGACCAAGGCGCTGGAGAGCTGCGGCACGCTCGAGTTCTGCAAGAGGGCCCGCGGCAACAACGCCTTCGTCCTCTGCATCAAGACCTTCGAGAGGCTGCCCTCGTACCCCGCGCCGACGGACAACCGCGTGCAGCTCCAGTGCCTGTCGGACCCGGGGCCCGACGAGAAGAAGTGCGGCACCTTTGCGTGGTGCAAGGCGGCCGACGACAAGAGGCGGCCGGACTGGCCGTGGACGCACCCGTATCACGATAGCTTCGAGTGCTTCTGGGCGCATCGGATGACGCCCGAGTATTGGGGTGGCCCAGGCCAGGGACTTCGACTACGCGGTACTCAGTCAGAATCATGGCGACGTTGAGGGAATCTGTCGGGGCCGAAAAGGACGCCAAAGGGCGGGCCACCGAGGAAATAATGAGAAACAAGCACCGGATGGACAAATAATAATTGATTCAGGCAGAAGGTGTGTATATCTACATGTACAACAGAACTGTCCATGGCGCGGACAAACATAGATATCCGCGCTTCTTCAGTAATTCAAAGAACGCCAACACACGTTTTGGCTGTCCACTCTTCTTTACCTACTGGGACGCGACGTGCCAACGCCATCCTAATCACTCATATCCCACTCCGAATGGCCTCCCTCCCCCCGACCCAGCAAAGCTTATGAAAAGCAAACAGTTTGTCACCTGCAATCGCATCCACCAGCTAGGATGCCACGGAATCCTGGACCGCAAGACGAGTACGGTGGCGAGACCATTACAGGTCCGCCTCACTCCTCTAAGGGGCATCTGCGGACTTCCTTCGGGCGTATCTTCTGAGCTCTTACGATGGTCAAGACGAAGGAGGATGACTGCCTACTCTTTTTTTCGTACGGATGAGCATGTCCCTTACTGTGAGATAGCTGGACCTTTGCTCGAACTCGGGCGTACCTGCACCGTCTAAAGGCACGGTCTGATACTAGACATGGGACTGGGCCTACGCCGATATTCAGAAGTCGTCGTAATGTATTGCTCTCTTGCAATGTAGCCCCATGTCGGCAGCAAAATCCTTGCTGAGACTGACAAAAAGTAGAATTTCATGGCAAGCGCTCATTGATTCCTATCATGCTTTGCTTGGACCGACCGTACAACAACCAAGAGGCTCGACTTCACGTTCCTCCCACAGATTTGAAAATTCATACCCAGCAAAGCCCCGCGGACGCCAGGCCCTCCAAACCTTTTCACAAGGCCCGTCGCCATCGTTAGGATGTAGGCTGACCGGCCTGCCCTCACCTCGCGTCTCCCAAGGCAGGCCGCTCTGGTTAGCCCTGCGACATAGAAAGGCCTGCTGTGCCACTTGACATTTCTCGAGGTGGCGAGACCCCGAAGCCAAAAGACGACTCACGGGTAGGACAGGGGGAACTCGGCATATAGCCGTTCGACCAGCGCCAACACTCCTCCAACGCACCCTACAAGCCAAAACCTGTGTAGCTGCTTCTGCCTCGAGCGGACATAGACCATCGACGAGCCTCTTCAGTTACGCACAGAGAGGACCAGACATCCCATGCTTGCCCATCATCTTCGCTCTACGTGGCTCAACATGCTTCGAGCTGTGCTGACCCCCTTTCCCATCGTGGGTGTGGCCAACTCAGCCCCTCAGCTTTCAGCTCACAAACTCCAACCACCGCAACAGAGCTTGTTCGGGATTCGGTCGACAAATAATCTCCCATTGCACAGGGATGTAGGGGGCTTGGAAGCTTGACGCGCGCAGAAGTTGACATTGGCTGGGGGGAGAGGTGTCTTGCTGTGCTTCTCGCTCGCTGCCTCTTCAGGCAGCCAGCTTGCACAAGAGGCTCTTCATATCCGCGTCCGCTTCAGCACTGACTTGTCTTTGGAGGGAAACAGCGGGGATGCCTGCTTGAGGCGCATTGTCTCTGTGTCACTTCTACGTATTCAAACAGGTTCCTGGAAGGGAAACACCTTTGGTCAAATACCGCCAAGCCAAGGCAGGACTGCTGACATGGAGACGAGGTCGGGAAAGACCACTGTCGTATGAGTTCCGTGTAATCGTACTTGAGCTTCGGAAAAGACTACAGTACCACGCAGAGTACAGCAGGGGCGCCTCGCCTCGCGTCCCACCCCGACGCCAGCCCCGGCCGCGCTCACCAACCTCGGGCCCTCAACATGCGCCTGCAAGCGAGACGACAACTTCAGATGTCGGCCCCAACTTTGCCCCTCGGACCGCAGGCAGCCACTCGACCCACGGCTGGTCGGGACCCGGGCTCTCGCTCGAGAATGAGCGGGCGGGTCGAATCGTCCCCAAGTTTCGTGTGTGCGCTCGAGTCAGAGCTTTCACCCGCGAGGCCAGGCGCCTGTCCGCCGTCCCGTCCAGGGGAGGAGGGGAGGAGGCCCCGACGCTCGGGCACGATGCTGGCTCGCGCTGCCCTGCCTCGCGGCACCGGAAAGCCTGCATTGGCTTCTGCCTTAAGCCCGGGTCAATGGGGCGGGCACCTTGCTTTGACCCCGTTCGTCCCGTCTTGGGTCCCAAGAACCAAGTTGACCAACGTCTGTCTCCACGACCAAGATCGTTGCCACTGGAACTGGCCGTTAAAAGGCGCAGACGCCACGATCGGTGACCTGGAGAGTTGCCCGTACGCCACGGGCAGGTCGAAAGGGGCCCAGGGCGCTCTGGCAAAATCAAAGAGGCCGGGTTGAGCTTATCCCACCAACGAGGGGCTGCTTATTCGCATCCACGTCGCATAAAGCACAGCCGCGTCGAGAGGGTAATTACTGTTCAAACGAGTAAGCGATAGTACCATGACGGATCCCTTGTCCCGAGGGATGCTTGTCCTTGCTGCTTCAATGCTGCTTCAATGCTGCCGCCGCTGCTGCTGCTACTGCGGCGGCGGCGGCGGCGGCGGCGGCGGCGGCTGTCTCGGCGCCGCACTAAAGAACGCCTTCGCCAACGGCTGGACTCAAGGATGGCTGTCGCATTCATTGACCAAGCAGCGACAGGGCAAAGTGCCCAAGACCCTGCCACGAGGCAGCCCTAGCGGGTTAATGAATGCTCCGCCAGAGTCTCAGTGCGTTCCGGGATGGGCGGCCGTGGCGGCAATGAAAAAGCAACAGGTCCGCGACTGCCACCGCGTTAGTGTCAAGGACTGCCGTTGACAAAAGCAATCCTCATGCGTCCGCCATGCGCAACCGGCACATCTTTGTCCGTTCAAGCTTGACAAAGGGATTCACACACCGCAATACCCATGCCTTCACCCTGCTTGGACAGCCCTGGACGTCGCGTCCCTACGACTACTCGTATAACTGCCATGCCGGGCCTTGTGATGCAGGCCCTGGGACTCTGATGCGTGCCGCCACGCACAGCCACCATGAACATGCTGCTTCACGGGACATGGAGCACTATAGTGCAGTACAGCCTGATGTGAAGACCAGTGCGGAGCCTGCATGGGTGAGTACACGGGATCGTAGTGCGTCGTTGCACCTCAGCCCTGGGGCCATCTTCTGGCTCGAGAGGCAAACCCCTCTGCAGCTCGAGGGTCCCTGCCAGGGCGCCCGGGATCCGCGCGGATTCCGGGTTGAAATGAAGGCGGGTGACGAGGGCCAATTTCGGTCCACCGTGCTTGTGGTCGGGCGGCGACGTATCGTGGGCAAATTCACTTGAGCTGGACGTTAGCGCAAAACACACACAGGGACTTGCAGCAAGTGCGGGACTGAACTCGTTGTTCTAGTACATGCATGCTCGCGATGTGTGCAGCTCCTGTACGGCTCTGGCTGTGCCGTGCGGAGGGACGTCCGCTGATGTGATTTGGTCCCTCTCAAGGCGCTCATTGTTCTGAAGCAGGAGAAAGCCTGCTTGCGCGAGCCCTCCGAAGTGGCCAGCTCTAGGAAACACCGGAGAACGCCCGCGAAGCTGAGATATCTGATGCTTGGATGCTCACGTCCGCCCTTGGCCGTCAAGACGGAACCCCTTGGGCCTGTTTCGGTACGGCACGGTACCTCGCCTTGGTCGACCTCTCCAGACGTGGTCATGGTTGCCGACTGCATGTTGTGCGCTGTGTGTGGAGCTGCCTCTCAGAGTGGCGACGAGACGTGGTCAAGTGCGGTTTCCTCCGCCGGCAGTAGGAGGAGATCATCATTTGGACTGCCGCCGCGTTTCGAGTGAGCGAATAACGTGCCCGTAGTGCTCCGCCTCGCATGGCCATCACGTCAGCTCCAGTCTGGGGAGGGCAAACATGAGCAGCGGGCTGCGAGCGCAGCACTTCCAATGCCCCATGCCATGCCGTCGCCAAACCGTGTCTTTGAAGTTGGCACAAACCCCCCTCAACATCCTCCCGTGCGCCCGGGTGCCAGCCCGTTGAGAGTGGGTCATGCTAGCAAACACCCGCGAGGCCTGGCCAGCATCCAGGTCGACCATCCCGTGCCAGCATCCCATGCCAGAGGCCTGACCGTGCCATGCTCCCCTCGTCAGCGCTGCCGCCCTCCATAACCTTGGGCCCACGCCAACGCCCACACCCCTCCCTTTCACCTTGTCCGTACCAGGCCAGGCGCCCAAGACGCCACTCCACGTGCGCGGAGGGGCCATGGTCTAATCCTCAGTGCCGTTTGGCGCAATTGAATTGGGGCCGTGGTGCCGCTGGCTGCATTGTGCTTGGGGGGATGGGGGGCCCCTCGAACGACAGTGGCCTAGCTCCAACTTCTTCTCCCCAGCCCAACCCGCGCCAGGGGCGTCTCTGCTGCACCTGATTGCCCCATGAGATGTGGGATGTCGTGAGCGTTTGTCGCCTTGGTGCGGGTGACGGAGAATTGGCAGCGGGCGAATCAATTCTTGTATCATGCCTTCGGAGAGACGCCGTATTCACACGGGCTTGTTCCTCGTACACACGCCGAGGAGCTCGCTGACTGCAACACTGATCCGGCAGACTCGGCATCGTGGGTTTAGTGTTCAGCGAAGAGAGGGGGGCAGGGAGGGCCCCGACAGCTGACATGAGATGGAACGGAGGGTCTGTGGGGAGACGAGCATTTCCGCCGGGGACTCGTCGCACAACATGCCGAATCTGCTTGCTAGTCCGTCCAGGACAGAGCGAGTCAAGCGCGGAACATCCGCACAAGCAGCATGGACTTGCAGCGGCCGGCCGGGGAGCCCATCCTGGCGCAGCGGGCGTCTGTCGCTGCCGGCGCGCGACGCAGATTGGCAAAGCACTGGTCCCGAGAGGGCGGAATCGCGAGCGACGGCCCAGCCCAATCAGATGCCCGAGATACCCATTTCTCGCTCAGATGGGCCACCGGGGATCGCTTGTGCAACACCGTCCCACCGCGGGGCCCAGTGGCGTTGGACTGGCAGAGACGGGGGACTGGGTTCTGGGCG